GGCATCATATGCCGAATATGAACTACTGTTGCGTAGTAATCGGGAACGCGACTTGGCATCATATAGACACTCGTTAGCAGCGACTGCTGCCCAACCAGAGGAAATAGCCGCAGTTGATCAACTGCATATTACTCCGCCAGCAGAAAGAGTGGCAAAGGCCATGATAGCGCGTGCAAAGGCACAGAGTGACGCGGCGGAAGCCTCAAAGGAAGTTGAAGAGGTACCATACGAATCAACTGTAAAGAAACCTATTAAATCACCTGCAAAAGCAGGAGTAGAAACAGCGTTAAAGATAAAGCCTAAACGGAGTAAATCACCGAAACCACCGGCAGACGCTAACGAGCGATTAGCAAAGCTGATCGCCGACCATGAGCAGCAAGAGGCCAGAGATAGGCAGCGTTGGGGACAATCCTTTATAATGGAAGGTCCGTTTGCCCCGACGAAAACAGACGCCCCTAATGGGAAGGAATTACGAGTAGTTACGATACCGCAGCATGTGTATAATACACCACAAGTTATAACGCAAATACGGCCACAGTTGCAAGTGCAACCGCCCCCGGCGTTTTGGAAGGAGACTGGCTTAAAGCCAGCTGTAATCAGATTCCCTACTCCGATGGGAGTGTTACAAGCACCGGTCGAACACCAGCAAATGGCTGGAACTCTTAAACGGGGTCCGAACCCGGTACGAATTAAGGAAGAACTGAGCTACATCATCCCGATATTAACGGGATCGCGAACGCCGTCGCCAGCCGTTAGTGTTAGTGCGATATCCAGTAAGACGCGCCCTTATCGCGTGCAAAGCACGCCCTCACCAGTAGAGGAGGACAAAAAGCGTAAACTGGTAGAAAACAGAGAGGAGATTACTCGAAGGGTAGTCCAAGTCAGGGAAAAGCTGAGACATCAGCCATCGTCGTCTGATGACGATGAACAACCGCAGCTTGTCATAGACGAGCAATGTAGCGATATTGCCCAAAAAGGTAGCGAAGGAGACCCGATAAGAGTTTCTAGTGAGTCCAATGGACGGAATAATTCTCCGGAAATTCCGGAACGAACGTGACTCTGGACATTATTAATAACGTCCGGAAAAAGGACAAGATGGCGGCGCCAGCTTACCTTTTACAAAAGTACAGGCAGATTATAGCTCCTCGGTACATCGATACCGAGGAATATGCACTTATTGTGCAGGTAGCCTCAGAACGTGGGACGTTGGTGGAAGTTTACGAAAACTGGTCACCAACAATGAAGTACGCGATAACTGCAAGTCGTAAAGGTCGATATGTCGACATGAGAGTTAATAACATGCAGGAAATGGTAGAAGCAGTGGCAATCGCCATTAGGGACGTCCACAACGTTCGTGGATCGACTATTGACGAGATTGTTAGGTATATGTACTTAACAATGCCGTTAGACTCAGTCAATCCTGAGCAGCGTTATTCGGATGTTACTACCGCCGTCAATGAGGCAGTTGCCACAGGAATAATCGTGGACGCGGCTCTGGCCGGGAATAGTGGGCGATATGCCTTAGCGGAAACCAACCGTAAACGGATCGCCGAGTTAACCGGCCAACATGTAGAAGAAGTACCGTATTCACCCGCGAAGCGTGTTCCATTCGGGCGAAGGCCCATAGCTTTGGATGAACAAAAAACCTTGTTGGCACAACCCTCGCGTAATGATTTGGCAATCGCCATATATAAAATTGAACAGAGAGGGGAAAATCCCACAGCACAGCGGATAAGTGAGTATTTTGGCACTTATCAACCGTACGCCGTGCAATCTATGATTCGTGCGATGTACGAAGCCTCACAAATAACCCGTCGCTATAATGGCGAAACTTCGCCGTCCTATTATTTTGGTCGTAAAGGACTGTCCTTTCTGCAACGAGTGCAGTTTGAGAAAGTCCCCCAGTGGGATGAAATCGTTATAAAAACGATTGCGGAAATTGGTGATCCATCAGGATCGTCGCCTGACGAAATCATACAGTATATTTCAACTGTATGCCCGGCAATAGCCGACCAAGTAGACGATGCCGTAACTTTAGCGATAAGTCGCTTAATTACTGATCCGAGAATTATCGGATTAAATGACCCACACCGCGGGATGGTTTTATCCGTGGTGTTAGATCACGTCAGCGAAGAGGATAATTAATCTAAATCGTATCTCCGAGGTGGTAGATGCATATATTATGCAATAAGATAAATGCCGTAATTGCAGAATAATTTATTTAATTTAAATTAATTGCAGACGGAATGGAGGAATTACCGTACGCCTATGCGCCAATGCGCTCCTGCAGACGATGTCAGCACAATACTAATAACCGGAAATGTGTGGAATGCACACTCGGACCGAATTTCCGATCGTAAAATCCGCAGATTACCGTGTCCCGTCTTCATGACGAAGTGCTGCTACGCAGCTTGGATGCCTACCGTACCATTACATTGCCGGAATATTGGACAATGGTCTGCGCCACGCCGTACTATTACCGTGGCATTTCCGACAGTGCTGTGCAGTTTATTCGCGAGGGCACTGATGAGTGGTCCTACGCTATTCACCCGGAAAATTTCGGGCGGTGCACGGCAGAACTATTGAAGTGCGCAACCGCGCCACCGAATCAGGTAAAATTACCGGTTATCAGTGAATGCGGGAATTTTGAAATATTGCCCCTAGATCAAAGTATTCAGTACTTACCGGGCAGGGATAATTCCCATAATTTACAGAGATTTATGGCAAATACCGGCGGATCACAGCAAATGCTGTCCCCTCAGTCTGGACAGCAAGGCCAATGGCAACCGCCAGTGATGTTTCAACCACCGCAACATCAGCAGCAAAGTCTGCCTGGATACCAGCCGCAAATGCAGCGAATGCAAACACCTATTCGTTATACGAATATGGCGCTGCAAGTACCGCCGGGCGCATTGCCACCAGAGCATATTGCTCAACTTCAGCAGAGCCTTCCCAGTGGAAGTTATCAGTACGACCCGGAGACGCGGATGATAACTCCGTGCCCATGGCCAACCGGAACAGCCCCGAAAGAGCCACCACAGCGGCAAACTAATCCGCTGTTAGCGAATCTTCCGCCACTGACCAGGAAACCGCCGGTGAATCAACAACCGCCTTTAGAGATGCTGCGAGTGCAGCCTGCACCTGTAAGTGAACCAGTCTTTGAATCTGAGCCGAACTCAGGTGCTAGTTATTCTAGCAATACTAGCAATGCTAGTGGTAAAACTCGGCATAAAATTACTTATAATTTACCGAATGTGGGGAAAACCCCAGATAATTCCTTTGAAGAAGGCGATATTATGCCAGGTAAGCTGAATTCAGCTGTTAAATTTCAGAGAAAGAAAACGCCGAACTGGAATGTCCGCGCAACGCGCGGTGAATCGGTTAAATACCAGCCAGACGCATCTGTATTGTTGTTGCCAGAACGACAGACGCCTCCGCAGTACATCCGCCGTGATATCGACGTTGTTCGTCGAGACCTCGATCAATATGTTGATCGTGTCGTGTCAGTAGTTGGCACAGTTAATGCCGATCAGAGAACCGAAATTGGCAAAGCCATAACTGACACGTTGGACTTGTTACATACCATCGGGTATGACTTACGTATTCGGAAATCAATTAATATGTATAAGATTGATTTGTTCCGGCAAATGGAAGTAAGGCGATACGAAACGCCGCGCCGTTATGGTTTACGTAGTGCGCTGGATATTTCCCAGTTAAAAGAGAAATTAATTGAGATTACCGTCGTCGACTGGGAATTAATTTCCCAATTTAAAATCCTATTTACTGAAGAGCCGGAGGAATTCCTCCTACAGTTTATTTACCGGACACGGATCCAGCAAAGTTCTGGTTTTTCTGCCGTGCCGCGTGCGCTATGCAGCGTAAGATAGCTCCCATGAAAATCACATGGGACACCATCCCTATCGGATGGGGATTAAAGAAGTATATTCTGGTTATCCTCTCCGCGTTAATGGGCAATTGCCATGCTCACCATTATGCCCGGACATACCGGCAAGCTGAGCAGAATCGTCGATTAAAAAGTTACGTTAATCGTATGGGAGAGCCTCTTAATGAGGAACAACAAGCGAAAGTCCTAAATGATATTTTGAGTGTTATGCAAGTCGATGGACTGAAGACCGAATCAATCCGTAATGGACATTACGACGGGATCTATGATCTCGTTAAAAGATTCGCCGAACGTCAGAGTCAGGGAAAGCGCAAAGTCGCTCCAAATTCCCCCGACACTCCGTTAACCAGCAAAACAGTCCAACCTGGACTGAAGAAACCGATAGTGTCGATGGACACGGACGAAACGCCGCAGACAGCAAATGCTACACCAATCGCACCGATTAATGCAGTAATCACTGCACCAGCAGTTGTTCCTGTGAACACAACTACTGCTACTGTACCGACAAGCGGAACGCCGCAAAATGAAGTGACCGCGTCAGTAGAATTACTGACAATTCAGGAAACTCCTGAGACATCGGAGCAAAAAGCTGTGATGGAGACGGACGAGAAGCCGTCGCTGGAGAATAATTTTCTCTTCCCTTCCCGACAAGCTTTGCGGGAAAAACAACGAGAATTGTTGGACGTCAACGATAGGGAAAGGTCCCTTCTCGAATTGGATATCTGTGTAGTTCAAATACCGGAAAATGACAACGAACCGTTGTTTTTCCTCCCTGAGAGCGAAATTGACGCCGATATGTGTGAGGATAGTGGCGAAGTTAAAGCTACGTCCACCGTACTGAGCGATGCTCTTAATGCGCTGAATGCAGAACCACAGGTACAAATGCCGTAAAAGCATTTAATGCTAAAATTAAAATCGCCGTAGTATACAACGTATATATCGATATTTAATCGCCGTAAAAAGCCCGACGAGTGCACCAGTTTGAATTTATTTCAATCATCAAAAAAGGAACCGCCGTAGACGCACAAATCAGTGCACAAATCAGTTTCAGAATTGCCGTAGTGCACTAATTGCATTATAACAGACGAATAAAATTGCCGTAGATGCACTAAGTTGCAAAAGATGTCGTGGATCGACGCAGCAATGCGTATAATTGGAGGATAAATCTCCGGAATGGAAACCTACAAAATTAACAAGGATTAACAAGCGGGATTGAATATAACCGGAATGGAAATTTACCGGAATAATTTTACCGGTTTTTGTTACGAGTATAAACTCGTTTTGATTAACCTACGCCGCATTTTGCCGCGTTCTGTTCTCACTAACTGTGATGGAATAAAATGGCACATTTTTTTTAATAAGAGTTGCTCATTATGTTGCATTTCGAATGCATCCTTTCATTTTTTCTCATTCCTGTTTTTGAGCCTCAAGGGGCCTCGGCATCCCGTCCCGTGGCATGTCAGAGTGTTGTGCATAGTGCACAGGATATTGGCACGGACGCCTTACCATCATGGCTCGGCTTGCCATTTTTGCCATCCTGCACACACGCCAAAGCGTGTTTTGCCATTCGAGTGCCAGCATCGGAATCGACAACATCGATTCCTCTTGAGCTCTCTGATTTCATGCCCTTTTTCCCTTTAGATTTGTTTTGGTTGTCACCTTTCTAGTCTTTATTTCAAGGAAATAAAGTGATCTTTCGAGGAGTTGCGGTTTTGTTGTGTTTTCTCTATGCAGCGTGAGCGCTTCTCCGAGAACCGTATGCAGCTTGAATTCAGTTAATTTACTGCAGCCTGCGCTTGGCTAATTCTCAGACATATCCGGACAGCCGATAATAAAAGGCGTACAGAGCTCACATGGCCATTTTTCGCAGTATTCACCCGCATCTGAATTCTGAATAGTCATCCGTTAATTTATCGCACGTTGCTCCAAAGGAGCTTTGGGCTATTTTGTCTCAACTGTGATACTGTGAATGGCAGAAAACGTCTGTGTATCGTACTGTTCTGTACGTTATAGTACTGTTTCGGAGTCTTTCCAACAGTCTACGCAAATTTCGACTTTGCTGAATAACCGTTCACTTTTCTTGCTTCAGTATTTTCCGAAACTCGAAACGCTATCTCTATAGCATTATGATCTTGCACAAGAAGCGGCATTATTAGCATTAACAGCCCGCTGCTATTTGAGCAATATTACATACTTGAATCTGCAGTTTCTATGAAATCAAGCTATCTCTACAATCGTATAATTAACTAAAAAGCTGTAAAACTTAATTTTTGTGTGTGCCAATGATGGAATTTTGTATAGCGAGTTTTTTTACGAGTGCAAAAAGGCTTCTAATAAGAACATCGAAGTACCGTATACAGGTTGAGTTTCAATGACCGATCACTCACATACAGAACGTAAGCTACCTAAGCGATCATAAGTTCACCATGTAGCAGACCACCCAGAAGGCTGGTGATCGGTTAATAAAAATTGCTTAAGAACAGTGATCGGCTTACTAGAAATGCCGGAGCGTATAGCTATTATTTCAATACTGTAACATGTATTTTGACGTATAACGGTATAAGCAGTTTCTCAACATTTCACTGTTGTTCAAACATGTAAATTGGAAACTGACGAAGCGAAATTAACTCAACTGTCAATGTTGCTTTTCACATATTACAAAGAGTACATACGATACACGCATACTGCCATAGTTTGTTTTGCGAACAACCGGTCATAACTAGCACAATTACAAATTTACAATTAAGAGTAAGGTATCTGCTTTCATGACACTCATGAAATTGCATTCGTCGTTATTACAATTTTGCTGTCGTGTGGTCAACCGAAGTGCGTATAAATATTTTTTGGTGCAGCTCGTGATACGACAATCCAAGATTTTTATGTGATCTGTTGCATAGTACCATGTTGCAGCTGTAATCAGGTGATTCGATTAACACATTTGCGAAATACAAAGCCGGTGCGATCGTAAAGGATGCCGACTGGGCGTTCGGTTAACCAAATTCAACAAATTTTATTCGGGAACTTCGGAACCGCGGCGCGGGAAGAGATACGATAACGTACGGTGAGCAGCCGTTCTCTAAGTACAGTACCTCGTGCACCTAGTTGAGTAATTGTAAAACGCGATTGCAATTGGGACGCGACTGGGGCTTCGCACGATCTTCCAACCATGTTCATTCTCGCATCCATTCAATGCTTTCGTTTACTAAATATCTGTACCTATACCATTATTTAATGTATACGATGTATTTAAAATGTATGTATTTGAAACGTATATACGGATTTAAAACGCATCTAACCGACTAACCAATATCAAGCTGCAAAAGTCAAATCGAAGCCATGTCCAATGCCCAGCCAGGGTTGCGGATTTTAACGCTGTAACAGTTGATAATAAGCATATTCGAATGAAGCAAGAAATAAAAGAAAAGATTTAGGTCAACACGGAGTCGCCCGCGGCCGCAGAAGTTCGGCACAACGGGCAGTTTCGTGAATAAGTAGCCAGCCACGGTACCAAGCAGGCGTTATGTCCAGCTGCAAGAAAAGGGCAACATTCCACCAGCAACTAGCTTCATCTTACTGTGACTACTTGTCAACATAAAAGGGGCGGATAGTTGCTTAGGTAAGCACTCCCTGTACTTGCTGGCGTCACCCGGCTGGTGTTTACGCTGTGGCTAAACATGGTGCTTACGTACAATGTACCGTATGTATTGCCGCAACGTCACACTCCAGCCGGGTGACGACAGCAAGTATAGGCTTCTTGCCCAAGCCATTGCCAGCCCCTTTTATGTACAGTACTTAATACAACGGCCGGAATAAGTACGAGCACAGTTTGTACATAGCGACAAAAGAATAGACACGCGTTATGACTTATGGATGTTCGTAATTGTATTACAAAGTTACAAAAAAAACCCATTGTGAGCTACATACCCGATACTGGGCACGGGAGCATTCATAGTGGAGCGATTACTCTGGTGATCGGATATTATAATTAAAAGTGCTGTGCGACATCTTCCTGTCCGATAAGATGCATTTCTACCTCATACCATATCGAGATCTTACCATGAAGGCAAGGTAGTACGACAATCAACTCGCCCACGCTGTACAGCTGCTGACAAATGGGGCACACGTTGTCCGTCGGTTCGGTGGTATGTATCTGGCAAAGTTGCTGCAGTTCCTGAGCTGTCAGCGGGGCGCCGGCAGCTATAATAGCTGATTCATCTGATCGAACTTGAGAGAATGAAGCTGCAATAACCGTCTGATCGACAGGCTCCTGATGAGCCAGATTCCTAGCCACCTCGGCATCTCCAGCAGTTTGAGGAGCCTGCAATCCCAAACAACCATGGGATTATCCATAGTCCAACTGTGGAGTCAACTACGGAATTATCTATTGGATTATCCAAACAACTCCATAGTCTGCTTTTTTAAATCTAATTTTGAGGAGCTAATCTGAAATGTAAAAATTAATCGCGGCCAGTTATTCCGGTCGCCCGAAAAGTGTTTGCACCATTCAAGAAATACTCTGCAGTTTTCACTTAAATCCATGATATTACATATAATACTTCTCTCGATGTTCACTTGTCGTTCCTTTTCACTTGGAAAAAGCAGCCACCATCGGCGGAGTCTCGCCGTGCCCTTGAGGGCAACTTACTGTAACTTGCTGTGCTGGCGCCGCTTCTTCAGCAGAAGTTTGTTGTGTTGGCGTCGTTTCTGTAGCAGAAGAGGGGCGGAGGTTGCCCGTGCACAGCATGCACGGGCAACAACAACATAACACAAGACTTCCTATCACGATTCCGCAAACTATCAATCCAGCACTACTGGAGGCTTGGGATAAGGACGCAGTCGAGTTGCCGCTAGTCGTGTTTAGTTTCAATCCCCTGTAACCACTTAATATTTAAGCATGCAACAAATTTAATATTAGCAATTTAATAGTTGAAAAGTTAAAGCACGGAACCATAGCAAGCAGTGTGCATTTTCATACTAATTAATGCACTGAAACGTCGCAGACACGCACAATAAGTTCCTCCAAAGTATAACAACGATATTTATTTATCGGAACACTTTGATGATGTCGAAGACTAAAATATTACCATTGACGTTTTGGGTCTTCGTCACAAGTGCAGTTTAATCCTGTTGAATGTTTATTACCAATTACTTATTAATTTAAAAGTAGTATCTGCAACTTCTGCTTTAAAATTCGAAACAGCTGGCCAATTTTGCGGCTGCATTCAGTGGTGCCAAGAACTCTGGCCCCACTTTTGTAAAGATCGGTTGAAAGAGAGCAAAAACCGGCCACTCGGTCCTGGTTCGAAAAATCCATACTTCTATTAGTAATTAGGCAGCGTGCACCAGGCAACACCTCCAGTGCGCAACTGCGCATAAATCGTTAAAGGGAAGCGACATTGTGCGTATTACGGGAATCAGTAGTACAGTAGCTATGTCTGCAAACCTACAGTGACGTTAGAACTGGAAAGAGCCCTTCTGGCACTTCTGGTGATTCATTGTCCGATCCGAATCCGGAGAGAAATACCAACTGTATCAAATTGTAGTACTGAGTTCGGTTTACCGAAACCATGCGGTATCTATACCAAATAAAAGTGCAGATCAAGAAGATATATTTATATAAGCAGAATACTTGGTCAGATATAGGTATAAGCGTGGTCAAATTCTGTTACATGCCTTACCACTCTACTCTGTAGATGAAAATGACGCTGTTCAGTTTAATGTATTATTAGAAAAAAAACGAAAAAAAAAAACACAGCCGTACTTTGCGATTGCTTTATTCGGCTGGTTGTTTCGAAAACGGCTCGGTTTACATGTTCAGCAATGCATTAATCAGGTGACAGACAGAACATTCTGTGCAAAGTACGGTAATTCATTCACGCAGAGTTACAATGGAGGCTATAACACTGCAACAGACAGATCGTGTGCAGCAGCTCGCAAACGCGAGCGCCAGCTTTATTTTAACGCGCAATGGCGCTGACCGGCTTGGGCAGAGCAAGACGTTCAACAGAACCAGACTAAGAGAGTTCTAAACAGGTAGATAGCAAGCACAACTCTAGGGAAGGCGCCAATCCTCTGCTTCGACTGATTTCCCTGTCTACTTACATTTGGCACGATTGGTGCTGCGGACATCACAGGCCTTTCAGTCAAGCCGTTGCTGAGTAGCCAGGGTGGTATTGTGATCCTCCATCTCCCGTGCCCGTCTCCTTGGTGGTATTGCTGCCTCAGCCAAGCACTTCGCACACAGGCCTTGCGGGCCGTGCACTCGCAGCCTGAACTCAGAGTGGTCACCCATCTAAGTCCAAACCGCGCTCGATGTAGACTATCTTTCAAAACCCGAAGGTTTATCCATCTAGCCACAACGAGTGTGCTAAGCCACAACGAGTGTGCTAAGCCACAACGAGTGTGCTTGCCACAACGAGTGTGCTAGCCACAACGAGTGTGCTAAGCCACAACGAGTGTGCTAAACTACAACTACATCTGCTGTCTTGTCTTACTGTGTTGTAGCTGAGGGTCGGGCATCATAGACAAATTTCTTTAGGTTCATTCCATCCTCATAACTGACAAAATGCACGTCAATTTTAATTGGGGCGAAAATATCACTGGGTATAGCAGCGGGGTACGTGGTCCGGTTCCCTATGCTATTGTCGATTACAGATTTTTCTCCATATGCTTTGGACAGGCTGGGGTGAATGATGATGCCGCTATAGCCATTTGTTTGAGCATAAAAAATTTTGCCGAAGATTCCATTCGCCTCATTTAATCGGGCATCTCCAACTGGTTTGGATTGGCGTCGTAGAGATCTGCCTTCGTATTGCTGAGCAATTAAAAACCATAGATGTCAGAACTGAAAACTATCGTAAGTAATGTTTTGGGGCTTACGTAAGTCATTATAATCGAAGCCCTTATGAAATCATAAACATGTATGGTATCCTTTGCATCACAATTGTTCAATTATCACACGAACCGGTTCCATGACTAATGATCTGATGCAAGAATACCTGTTTTCGTTGAGCATATTTCGTCATCCGTTATTAAAAACATATGACGCCATGGGAGAAACGAAGAAGGTCCTGTTGCCTTACAAAGCTCCACATTTTCTGTTCTCAAATAGATCTGCAAAGGCCAGAAACTCCCATGTATAGTGCAGATGGTGATCTCAGATTGCACGAGTTCAGTATTGCCAGAGATCATTCGCTCGCCCGGTTTTCTAATTGTTATGTTTAACTGCAAACAATATGAACCTGGTATCGACTTACCGGGACGGAGATATCCCGTTGTCCCAAAACTGAGTGCTGCTCATTGAAAATCGTATAACCAGTCGACGAATCCAAAGAAACCGTTCCGTTGTCTAATCTGTAGACCTGAATTACGCAGCTGCCACAATTAAATAGAACGCTCAGGGTTAAAAAACGCTGCTTTAAAAGAATAACGAGTGATCCCATCTCCGCAAAAGGGTTGCTGTGCTGCCTGTGCATCATTTTTCAGTCTTGAAGAAGCAACGCCAGTTACAGCGGAAGTACGTTTGCGCCATTTGTAGAATTTCTGACAGATTTTCACGGCATCATCCAAAACGAAATAATTTTGGTATCATTCAGAATTCCCACTATCACAGCAATGAAATAACTGCTCTGGCCTTAATCGAAACAAAATCGAGCATCGGCGAAACTGCGAAATGCAAAAAGGCATCGAATGCGGAAAATTATTTGTGATGCTACTGGTAGTACTACAAATACACAAATCGTACAACATCACGCAAGCAGAATGCAGACTGTCATCATTTACGTTTTGTTGGCAATAATCATATACCGTATTAGCTCATAAGCAGAATGGGGAACTTGCATGCCATGATTTTTTACACGACTGCATTACACACACGGATGTAAAAAAACAGTAAATATTATGTCGCGCATTGGCTTCTACACGAAAGTAGCGACTACCGGTATAATACAGTCAGCACAGTGTATGCCGACAAGAGAAGTATACCGGGTTTAGATTGCCCAAATGCCCACGGGCGTTATGATGGCTAAGCATACGCACGCGGTGTTTTAAGTACTCCCGAATACTTCTATGCAGTCACCTCAGTGGTTTAAATGCGCTTTACGGCAGAATTTAAAGAGGAAAAAGAAGGCTAGTCTGCAAACCAAGATTTTTATGCACTGCAGCTTTTCATTTAGATAACGTGGCGGAGACTACAGCCAACTCGAACGCTCGTTACTGTCACCCCATAGCAGTAATTCAAGATATTTCCCGGATGAAGTAGAACAAAGACGTTACACAAAGCCTAGGAGTAAGTAACAAAACCTGAAAGATACAGTAATGAAACTTGTAAGCTATGTCCGAGGCTGCTCCTGTTTATGCAGAAAATATTTGCAGGCAAGTTACGGTGAAAAAATGTTAGACATCACCCGTTAGGTGGTTTTATCCTTAACGAGAAATAACAGGTGAATCGGGAAACTGAACCGGGAAGGCTGTGGGTAAAGGCACTGCTTCCACCCAAGCCCATTGTCGGCATACTGGGCAATTTCGCGAATAGGTGGTCAGCCAGGTTGTCAGACATGCTTTATGTCCACCTGTAAAAGTGGATTCCAATTGAACGATAAGTGCAAACAAACTCCTAAACTTTAGTCCTCGATAGCTATTTATGATATTTGCAGAACCAGTTAAAACTAGTGCGACTTCTCCGGGTTGCTCGTGATCTTTACCGATCTTTTTTGGAAGTTAAATCGAATGGTGTGAAGTAAAAAGCATCGTTATCTTACCGTGATTGCACGGTAAAACAATCTTCAGTTCACCGGCGTTGAAAGTTTGTTGGCAAGTCCGACACATTTCATCCGATGGTTCATTGACCGTTACTTGATTGAGTTCTTCCATCTCCTGCAAGGATAACGGGACGCCGTTGGCTCGAAGATGTTCTTGTTGTTCGGCTTCCTGGAGGCGGGCCATGAAGTTCTCGATAAAACTCAGGACAAGACGTTGCCGGTACGCCAGCATGCGGGCGATTTCTTGCTCCTCTAGAGCTTCACGAACCTGTAGTCGCATGCTGATATAAAACAACTACTTCCGTCACGTAATTCGCTACACTGACTCAACGAACCCCATAACCGTGAACGAGGCCTTTATTGCTTAAGCAAAACTGTCAGTGTGTATAAATCTCCACAGGCGCTACCTTTCCTTTTTCATTTTACATTAGCGTTGCTTACTCTGGCTCGCTCCTCAGCTGCGCGCATTCTGTGTCGGCGTACCAGCCAACGACAACCGCTGTAAAGCGCAGCGGCACAAACCAACGGAACGAATATCGCGATAAACAAAGTCTTGTCGAAAGATCCCTACTGTCACTACTCGACGAGAACGTCTCTGTGGTCGTGGAATAATCTAGTGTGTCGATGGGACCTCCATAACGTTGGCTCTGGTCACTGCGCCTGCAATCGCAAAGTTTTATATCAGTTAAAAGCTAAAAAACTATTGTTGTTGGAACTTGTTGACATGTAGTCGTACATAGTATAGCGCAAAAAATACCGTACAATTCTGCAATGAAAGCGATCGGGTCAAACTCCGTGGTAGTCTCAGAATCGGATGCGTCGGTCGATTTCAGCTCTGGGAAACGCTGCAGCTGAGATATGGTCCAATTAGAAAACCCAGGCAATATACCATCATCCTCGTGAGAGCTTGCTCGAGCGCTTTCCGTAGGCAGCGTGAAGTTTAAGCGATATCTGCACAGTACAAAAATTAACCACTATAGTATCCATCGATCTTTCCTCTACGTACTGGACATTCCCATTGATACGATTGCCTGAAGTTCGTATTGATATGACGCATCTCACAAACTCCGTTCAAATAGTTTACGAAACCATCGATTACTCTTTACAAGATTAACGTCCACGACCGACGAAAGTGCATCCCCGAAAGACCGAAACCTAGTTTCTCCGTACCTTATTTCAGATGATGGATAATAAGCGAATTTTGTTAACCGCTTCCCTTCCTCATAGCTCACAAAATGCACATCAACTGTTAGTCGGCTTGTTAGTGCTTGGGGAATCGCAACTGGAAACGGTTCTGTTCTGCTTCTCGTAGGCCAAGCAGTAAGATTGACGCTTCCGTGAGCACCGGGTTTTGTTCGGTCTTCAAAGAGACTGGCCTGTACGATTACGCCGCTGTAACCTTTAGCCTGTGCGTTGAGGATTTTCTTAGCGAATTCATCGCCGTCAACGCTATCTTGGGCAAATTGCCATTTGCGCATTGTTGAGGGCTTCTCTACAGAAAAACATTGGTATTACCGGTGAACGAGAATATTGTAGCCGTACAAATAAGATCTGGAATGTTACAGTAATAATGATGAGCATTTCATTGGTGCTAGTTGATGCGGAAACATCTGAATTTGTACTTGTACGAATCTTCACTTTTATCGTGGATTTCTAGACTGGTTTGGGAAATGTCTAACTGATCTAAAATCATTCTTGCTCTTGCCCTTGCCCTTGCCCTTCTCCAATGTTTTTCAGCTGAATAAAAATGTGTGCGTACGCGTTGACAATGTGTTACATTGCCGGCTTTCGTTAAGAGTTAATTACATAAGCGATCTTAAAGTAATTCGTTAACACCACCAGCACTTCCGATCGTGGTACGGGTGTGTAACCCACTCCACTAGGGACAGCTTAGAAGTTGTCATTGCATGGCAGCTCCTGGGTGTCGTTGAACAGCAACGATTATTTTACGGAATTATTAATTCGCCTTTCGGATTAACATTTTGCCGGCGCATCCCACACCGGCATCACTACGAGTAACACTGCGTCAGCTCACCGGCGCAAGAAATCAACCTCCCACAGCCGTCTCAAGCGACCACGCCCTCGGCGACTGTTTACCGGAGGACCGGAAATCCCGTCTTACCTAGCAGCATACCGCATCCCGAAAGTAAAGACACATCATTTGGGTAAGCGCAAATAGATTAAACTTTAACATTATACTTAAGTACAGTACTCAGTCGTGAAAAGATAATTATTGTTTTATCCTCTCACTTTAATAGCAGTATCGGCAATTTGCAACAGCAACCTCCACATTGTTTGTGTGAACTTAATAAGCAATTATTCCAGTTTTGCTCCCGAATTTTTCCGTGCTGATTATACACTTTACAGTACTATTGTGTGCATTTGATTTTACCGGTATGGTATAAGACTTTCTTGACCTGCATTCGTTTTCACTTTGCCAGCAAAACTTTTCTCTCTAAAGAGAGCATTCTTGGCTTGGGAAAGAAACCATTAGCGTTTACAGTTGAATAGTTTTTCTTGGACAGTATGGACAAACATCAGAACTTATCCGACACTCTGTCTGCTTATACGAAGGTTGAACTACAGAGTATAGCACAACAGTATAAAGTACCGTATAAGCAGGCTGACAACAAGAGCAAACTACAGACAGCAATTGCACATTACATGTGTGCTCAGAATCTGAGCGTAGACGATCTGAAGAAGATACTGCGCAGGGAGAAAAGCAACAACAACGCATCATCGCAGGCCAACACCACACCAGTTAAGAGCAATCAGACCAACGCGACCGCTGGCTCGGTTGCGCAGCTGTCAAAGGACAGAGAGGACGCTCTCTCTCCACAACAGCCTAGCACTCTAAACAGTGTGGAGCCTGACAGTGAGCACCTGGTAAACAGTACTCCTGAGTTGCAGAATGCCTTACAGCAAGCGAATAGACTATATAGTACGTTAACTCAGTATATGCCAGACGCGCAGGGCAGAGCATATCTAGACCAGCTGCTGATGGAATCGCATAAGCAGTCATATAACTTCGTTGAACAGCTACATGGAGCGCGGCATGCTGAAGAGATTGCCGCACTGCAGCTACAGCTGCTTGAAGCACGTAAAGAGCGTGAGAGAGAGAATACAGCTATATTCCCACCGCATCACGCCCATGTACAGTATACTGCCAGTACACCTGATGTAAAGCATACCATTACTGCGGATAATAAGAGTACAGTATTACATGATCCAGTTGCATATAATGCTACGAGTACCAGCTCCAATAATAATCTTGCAGATATCGTGAATGCGCTTGCAGCTGTTAAGCTAGATCATAGTAAACTTTTACCTAAAGATTTCAAAATTGAGGTTTTCAACAACAAGCCTGAATATACGATCAGTAATTTCTTTCAGCAATTTGAGAGAGTAGCTAGTACATTAGATTGGGACAATAAGCGACGAGTAATCATGCTGCCCAACTATTTAGGCGAAGCGCCGCGAAGATTCTTTGAAGCTGAATGGTCAACTAACAAAGAGTTGAGTTATGATGCCTGGCGCAATAAACTAGTAACCCGGTATCTCCCTGAAGATTATGCTGACAAGAAGCGACTAGAACTTTCTCGCAAGTGCTTGAAACCTGGTGATGATGTACAGCAGTTTTTCGATGACATGTTGGTGTTGTTTCAAGAAATCGATAGTCGTATGCCCGAAGAGTATAAGGTATCGGAGATTAAGCGTGCTATTTCTGGTATCCCCGAGTACCGTAAAATTCTCATAGCAGCTAACGCCAACTCTGTTACTGAGATTCGTAACATTTTGGGAAAACTCGCTACAGTAGATTCAACCGAAACAACAGTAAATGTGTCATATGCCAGCCCGCACACACCGGCACCGCGCAATAACCGAGAATACGAGTATCATAACCGTAGCGACAGCCGTGACAGGCAACATTATCGGGACAGCAGTTCGTACGACAATAATTGGCGTCAACGGTCACCCAGTCCATACGGCAGACTACAAAATACGAGTAGACATTTCGACCGTTCGCGTTTTAATCAGTATAATCGTATTAGTGACCGCCGCGCACAGTATCAGCCACGTCGGTTCAGCAGAGAGCGAGACCGCAGCAGGGACTTCAGCCACAATCGTAACAACCGAGATGGTAGAGACGTAAGTGGTAACCGTTACTCACGTGATCGTACTGACGGGCGCAAACCACAACCTGACAGTACAGGAAGACGTAAGTTCTCACAGGAGCGCTCCGAGTCACGTGACCGCCGCAAGGAAGATTGGAAGAGTAGAATACCTGAGAAAGTGATACATTTCGATAGCTACAGGCTGGGAAACGGCAAGCTATTCTGCCCATTCTGTAAAGATTTCAGGCATGGTTTTTCTGAGTGCACGAGAGTCACACCGAATGATGTACAGTACATACAACAAACGTGTCCAGCTGACATCATCCTCAAAGCAGAACGGCAGTACAACAAGTACATTAAGGGAAACTTAGATGAAATGGGCGAAACCTTCTGGACAACACCTCAGGGAAACGCATGATGCCGTTCTGGAAAGGAGGTACAGACGGTGTATTACCACCTCCACATACCATAGCAGATGCGACCAAAAGTACGACTCTGTCAGAATATTTTACAGTAAAGGCACGACCTGGAGAACAAACAGTAACCTATGTATACAGCATCGATATAGAAAAAAGTAAAACGTCTCCGTATGCAAGTTACGATATGCCTATTACGTGTACACCTACTTATGCACCGACCATAGTAAACGGTCACGAGGTCAGAACACTTTTCGATACCGGTGCAGGCTGCAGCATTATTAGCGAGAGTCTAGCAAGAGCAATTAATCTTAAATTCTTTCATTTTAAGAAAGGCGCACCTGATTTACATTTCACAACTATTTCGGATCGATTTAAATGCCCGGAGACATACACAACTAGTACGACTGTAAAAGTGGGAGTAATTGACACCGTACACAAATTCTTTATCGTTTGCGGCCTCCCTAATGAATTTATAATCCTTGGTGCTGACTTTTTAAAAGAGCATAAAATAAGTATCAATTTACACCGCGGACAAATTATGTTCGAAAAGCCCGACAGAGTAAAGAAGTCGTTTTTACCGAAAGATATTCAAGATCGTATGGCTAGAAATTACAACTACTACCCACAAACTTCGTTCAATCATTACAAAGTAACAACCGAAATTGGCCTTACTCTGACGCTACTACGTACAAAGGGTATCTTACCAGCAATACCTGAAATACCAGAAGTCGTAGTATCTGAAGCACCAGAACCACAAGTAGCGATTAATGCACCTGATACGAGTATTGATGTTTTCCCTCCAAATACGAGTACGAATTGTAGTGATTCCGCGTGTGACGATTCTACAGCAAAGGTCACGAACTGCAGCACCGCGAATAACGATGGCCACAAAGCGGTTCTACCAGCTTCAGTAGAACCAGCACCACCAGTCACCGTTACTTTGCGAAATACTAGTCTTGTTCATACTGTTACAGTAACTACCGATACTATACTGATACTATGTTAACGATGACACACCTTCTGTTTTCAAAATCTCGCCTGATATTGTTGATCAGTGTGACTCAGCAAAAGTAGCTGTACATTCCAATGTATCTTGGTCGCAGTCTCACATTAAACTCGGCAAAAAGTTGAAAATCCCTAAGAAAACCGGTGTAGTCGTACAGTTTACGGTACCTGACAGCTATAACGGAGACGCGATTGTCATCGGACAAAAGAATATCTTGTTACAACACTTGGTTGGTGTAGCGAACACCATAGTATCTATTGAAAATGGAATAGCAAGTACAGTAATTACCAACTTCAGTGACAAACCAGTAACATTAAAGAAAGGCTTGTTAATTGGTTATGTAGAAACACTAGCTGCAGAGGAACTAGTTGAATGCAACAATCTCCAACCTGGTACGAGTATTAGCCGAGATGAATTAAACGAGCATATAAAAAATCTTAACTTTAACCCAAACTTAACTACCGAACAGCGAAACCAGCTAGTGCACCTTTTTGTCAGATATGAAAATGTGTTTCCCTCCAAGTCCCGCCCGCTTGGCTTGTGCTCCGAAGTGACACACGAGATCGACACAGGTGACAGCAAACCGATAAAACGGATGCCGTGGCGCACGTCCTTTGCGCATCGTATTGAGATACAGAAACAAGTGGATGAAATGCTAAATAAGGGAGTAATTAGAAAATCTACGTCGCCCTGGGCCGCTCCAGTAGTATTAGTAAAGAAAAAAGACCCGCATTCAGCATTGCGTTTTTGTGTAGACCTACGCGGGGTAAATAACGTTACGCACCGGCCGATGTGGCCACTGCCGCGCGTAGATGACGCGATTTCTAGCTTTAGTGGCTCAGTGTATTTTTCATCCCTTGATTTTAACTCTGGATTTTGGCAAATCCGGATGAAAGAAAACGATATACCAAAGACAAGTTTCATTACACCCGACGGACAGTATGAATTTTTGAGAATGCCTTTTGGTCTTTCTGGAGACACCGCTACCTTCCAGAAAGCCATGGATAGTATCTTAGGACACCTAAAGTGGCAATCAGTAATTTGCTATATCGATGATGTTTTAATAGGTGGCCGCGACTTTACTGAGCACATCAAACTTTTAGAGGAAGTACTAATAGCAGTCACAGCAGCAGGCTTTACCATATCACCGAAAAAGTGCGAAATAGGTTTCGAAAAAATTAAATTTTTGGGTCATATTATAAGTAGACACGGTCTTAGCCCTGACCCCGCCAAAATAGCTGCAATATCTGCCTTCCCGCGCCCCCAGACGGCTAAACAAGTAAAATCCTTTATAGGCGCATTATCGTACTACAGGCAATTCATTCAAAATTTCTCGGGGCTGAGTAAACCGCTTATCGAGCTAACAAAGAAAGACGCACCGTTTATCTGGGGCGAAAACCAACAAGCAGCTATCGAGGAATTAAGAGTAGCATTGACAACAGCACCGCTATTGAAACCGTTCGACCCGGCATTACCTGCTCAACTAAAAACCGACGCCTCCGGCATCGGAGTAGGCGCCATACTGGAGCAACAACATGCCGACGGGTAGCATGTTGTCGCCTATGCGTCTAAAATGCTAGACAAGCACCAGATGAATTATCCGACGTCTGAAAAAGAACTTTTTGCCATCGTTTTTGGCATCAAAAAGTTCAAACATTATTTAATTGGCAAACATTTTGTAGTAATAACTGATCATGCCGCTTTACAATTTCTGTTGAACTTAAAAGAACCTCAGGGCAGACTTAACCGATGGGCGCTGTTACTACAAGAGTACGACTTCAAAGTAATTTACCGGAAAGGCCGTTTACATCAGGACGCCGACTTATTAAGTCGCAATCCACTCGAGCCGGCTGATAACACAGACGATTGTGATATTCCTGTATATAGTACGAGTATTGACCCGTGTTTACTACCGACTACGCAGAAATTCGTTGACGAACAAGAATCTGATAATTTCATTAGCAACATTAAGGATATTATTAACAGCTCTGACAAGTACTCTACTTCTCCTAAGAGTATTCAGCGAAAGGTTGACGGTTTTCGCATCGTCAATAACATCTTATACAAAGTAAAATCTCAGAAAGGACACCGGAAATTACTACTGTGCATTCCTTACAGTATGCGCGCACAAGTATTATATAATCTGCATGATGCACCTACCGCGTCACACATCGGTTTTGAAAGAGTATGGGAGCATATGAAGAGCAGATATTATTTTCCACGGATGTTACATTTCGTAAAAAATTACTGCGAAGCTTGTCAGTTGTGTCAGCAGCGAAATAGTAGCAGTATTCCTCAGTCAGGATATTTGCAGCAGATTAAACGGTACAATTTATTGGAAAGTTGGTCTTTTGACCACATCGGTCCTTTCCACGCCACCGAAGGAAAGAAATATATAATAGTAGCGGTCGAAAACGTTTCACGCTATGCCGTTACCAAAGCCGTGCATTCGACCGGCGCTCAGGAAACAGCAGATTTCTTTATACATAATATAATTATACCATTTGGTTTGCCTCGGTATATAACATCAGACCGAGGTGTAGCATATACGAGTAATTTATTTACTGAATTAACAAAGTTGCTGAGTGTCAATCATAGAGTAACTACTGCTTATCATCCTCAAAGCAATAGTATACCTGAACGTTTTAATAAGTATCTTGCAGAAAAATTAACGTTGTACGCCAATAAAGAGCAGACCAATTGGGCACTACACCTGCCATTTGTTACGTTTTCTTATAACTCTTCGAAACACTCTACAACAGATAGTTCACCTTATTATCTGCTTTTCGGTGTAGAACCGTTACTACCTATTGACATAGTAACACCTAAAGTACCAGAGAAAACAGGGGACAAAACGATACAAAAGTATCTTGAAGAACTCCGCAACCAGTGGAAAGTTGCACATGAGTATGCGAAAGTACTAACGGAGAAAGTACATGATAGTAATGCACAACGATACGATGATAAAAAAGTAGAAGTATGTTTTAACGTAGGCGACAAAGTATATGTACGTGATGAGACTCGTATTGTTGGCGAAACTCAAAAGTTAACCTTCCGATTTGTTGGTCCATATGAGATTACTGAGCTGACCACAGAAGGAAACGTTCATGTTAAACTAATTACGGGTAAAGGACGCAAAAGAGTAACGCAAATAGTACATATATCAAAACTAAAACCGTATAAAGAATATGAGGAAGATGTACAGCGTAGCCGGGAAGCTTTCCTAAAAACTTTAGAAAGTAATAAGAGTACTTAAACAACACACAAGACTAACTACTTACTAGTAAATATAAAATTAACAATGGTGAACGTACCATTACTAGTACCAGCAGTGCAGACTAATATCCGATTCGCACTACAGAGTACAGACTAATAAACCGGTGTAAAGTCAAAAAGTAATAACACTGCTACAGCAGCTAAAGTGTACAATACATAAAAGACTGACACTGTTAGAGTATGTACAGTATCACTGCGGAATAATGCTGATAAAGTATATACAGTGTAGAACAACGCAGGAATAACACTGTTACAGTAAACGCAGTGCAAAGTATAAAAATAATGCACTATGCAATATATAAAAAAGTGTACAGCAGTCGATTCTGGCACTATATATTAGCACAGTGCACTGCAGGTGTATTACACTGCAGCACTGATAAGTATAACTACCCAAAACAGTAAAAAGTAACAACATTATGTGTGCGTTTGCAGTCATGGACATGGACACCCACGAAGCTTCCGCTAACGGAGACAGTAACACGGCGACAAGCAGCTCGGCACCGGCAGACACACCAAAAGCAACACCCAGCGCCACCGTGCCGCAGGACGCTATGGACATCCAGACAACTGGATATGATGATGGCAGCTTCAACAACGAGCCGTTCCATCCAGTGACACGCCAGAACAGCCGCACACATGCACCTCCACCCGCACCGGCCGCTTCCGACAGTACCAATCAGCAACCCGGCCAGCGCACCGAACAGCCAAGTAACAATACTCCGCAGAACGGCAACGAGAATAGCAACCAGCGCCAGCAAAAACAGCCGCGCGCTGAGCGCATCCGTTACATCACCGCAACTTCCCGTCAGACAGCACTCCCCGTTAACGACTTACCGTTCAACCCGTTCATTAGCTGCAGCTGGGCCGTCACCGCTGAGGACATGCAGCGCCACATGAACAACATCGGTACCGCGATAGACCGCCTTCAGGAGCAACGCAGCACCCTGCCGAATAACTACGATGCACTGGGGATAGAGTACGAGATTGAACAGCTGAAGAGTATGTTCTCGTTTTTGGAGCGTCAGAGTAAACAAACTAACAGTAACAAATTCGTGACGTTCCCGGAACCACTGGCTACGTCTCTTGGCCACTTCTACCAGCAGTCCTGGCGTTTCGACCGTTTTGCCACCGGAGCCTGGATAAAGTATGCAGCAGAAGACGGGACCTGGCGATATGAACACCGTTCTGGTTTTGTGTATCGCTATATCAGCAACTCACACCGACAAGGTTTCGAAATGGTTGAACAGTATCCGCGTTATTTCAATCCGTACCGCTACTTCCCGATCAACATGCCGTTTTGGCCAGGTGAAATTGCCTGGGATGGATCCTACACGGAAGAGACACGTACGCGAATCAGTAATTACATGGTTGAAATCGACGAGTATAAAACAGTGAAGGGCACCGATAATGGCAAAGACATACAGTATCCTTTTGTCGAAATGGCAGACATGTGGGCCGGAGAGTATCAGCAACTTGATTTGGGCAAGATTATAGCAAAAACCGGCATTCGTGGATATGCACCGGACGAGCAAGGTCATCAGTCCACCGTGCGGGACGATAAAGTAACCATTGCGCAGTTGAACGCTAAAATTCGCCAGCTTGAAGAGCAACTCGGACACCCGCGCCAAGGTAACCAGCAGCAACAGCAGGGACAATACCAACCATATCCGCAGCACCCCGGACAGCAGCAGCCGGAGCAGCCGCCGCGCCAGAATGGACAGCCGCACCCGCGTCAGAATGGAGAACAGCAGCGTCGCCAGTACCAGCCACGCCGTTGAATCACCTGACCGGAAACCGAAGAGAGCAACACAGCAACACGTGGGAGCAGCAACCCCGTCATCCAGATTCACCACGATTAGTAATGTTCTTACAGTAACTCTCATTGTTATTAATTGCTCAATATTTCTGTGTTATTTTCCATTCCCTAATTTCCATTCCTGATTTTACCGGATTTTCTCTTGATAAGACAGGTATATCTTATCGCTACCGTGCGGGATGTAGCCGTACAAATAAGATCTGGAATGTTACAGTAATAATGATGAGCATTTCATTGGTGCTAGTTGATGCGGAAACATCTGAATTTGTACTTGTACGAATCTTCACTTTTATCGTGGATTTCTAGACTGGTTTGGGAAATGTCTAACTGATCTAAAATCATTCTTGCTCTTGCCCTTGCCCTTGCCCTTCTCCAATGTTTTTCAGCTGAATAAAAAAGTGTGCGTACGCGTTGACAATGTGTTACATTGCCGGCTTTCGTTAAGAGTTAATTACATAAGCGATCTTAAAGTAATTCGTTAACACCACCAGCACTTCCGATCGTGGTACGGGTGTGTAACCCACTCCACTAGGGACAGCTTAGAAGTTGTCATTGCAATATGTACTTAGTTGTTTTTAAAATTTAGTTCTGCAAAACCCTTTTCCAACTAACAATGTTGGTTGCGGCAAGAGGAATGTTTTATTCACATAAATTATAAAATATACATACGCTTTTCATGGATACTGTAAATACAGCAAGATTAATGATAAGCAGCTACTTAACCTTCAACAAGTTATTTAATACTTGAACCTTTGCGTCGTGCACATGCTTCGTCATCGGCTAACAGAAAGACAACCGACATTTGGCTTCCCTCTGATAGGCTTGGAGCAGGAGGGAGCTTTTCGGCGTCACAGGCATTCAAGGGATCAGCGACTTTCAAATAAATCTGCAACGACTATCGCCTTTGACTATCAAGCCTTAAACGTATCGATTAGGTTTTGCTTTCGATTCAAAGAGCTTTCCAAGGCTGCGGCAACTATTCGAACAGACGACTCGAACTAAAATATTTTTTGGAATTATTTGTTATTTAGCTCCCGGGATGGTTTTTCAACGTACCGGGATGTCTGCGTTACGTTGGCCAACAACAGTCTGGTAATTATTAGAAACCGTATAAACAGGCTCCTGGGCAACTGTATCATTCTCTATTTCGTAAATCTGGATAACACAGCCACACGGGCTGAGTAGTACAGGCAAAATAAGCAGCCTAAGGGGAATTCGCGCAGCGGATGGCATCATGTTTCCGCTTAGGTACTTGGCTTCTTCAGTGTTGGATACACAAGACGGTACAAGTGATCAGTTTCACGCAACAGCGCTAAGTTCTAATGAAGTTATCGATGCTATTCGCCTTTTCTGAAAGATCGTACAGGTTTTTTAAAGATGCGCTCGTTTAACAGGCCACAGGAAGCAAACCTGATGGTAGAGCTCAGTAATATAAACGTTTAATTCGTTTTTCTGTAAAGTGAAAATGCAAAATAAATTCTTAGCTCGCGTGTATAAAACGTCGAATTCAAAGGTAGCAAAACTGTGTCAGTAGTAGCGGAATATATGTATGTACGAGAACAGCACGTAAACAACAGTGGTGCTGCTCACGAACCGGTTTTCTGCTTTGTCCTAACTAGAAGCTCACGCAAAATTCTCCACCGCCGATGAAGTTATTACTTACATGTATGTCTGCATATCGTATGTGGTCATGTGTCGTTTTCAAAGTTTATTAAGTAGAAAACAGACAGTGTCGGTGGTAAAAGTCGTTTTCCAACACATTAACACTGACACGCTTACAATTAGAGAATAAGAGAAGTTCGGTGTGCCCAAGAGCCCAAAGTGTTCTTGCTTTTTTTAGCTTTTTATCCTACACACTATATTGCGTATGACATCATTCGTTTGACAAAGATTGCGTCGAACAAAATCAATATGATTACAATGACATGCAAGAAGTGAATTTTGGCAAAAGATTTTACAGCAGTAAGTATGTGTAACGTATACTACAGAGTGTAGTATATGTAATGAATAGCGATTTCTGCAGATATGGCAGCATACAGCCGTGAAGCTGGCAAGTCACACACCTTCACTTGACCACCATTTAGCACTGTTTTATCGTTTCTCGTTGCGTTTACTACTTAAGAAACAAGATCAGTAGTTGGTAATTTCAAGTAGGACCTAACTGCAGCGAAATCGAACTAAACTGGATACGAAACCGTGTTTCTATTCAAAGAAGCTGAAAAGAGTTACAGTACACACAGTGAAATTACAACGAAGTTATAAATTAATTACATTATGGCTGCGTGCACGGGTAAACACGGGTGTTGGCTGGGTGCACGGAGTTTGGGAACGGGTGTTGGCTGCGGGCACGGGATTCCTTCACGGGCGTTGGCTGCGTGCACGGGAAATTATTTGAATGTTTAAGTTAAATTTAATTGTATATTTTAGTTATAATTTTTTACATAATTACTACTTATGGAAACCTACTCACTTATTTAAACCCACTGTTTCTAAACGAAAATACCTAGCTACCGCAAGTACTGCAAAATTTGCTGTACATAGCAAGTACAGAGTACTATGTTACGACTTACGAGTTAAATATCTATACTTGTTAGTGCAGTACCATGAAGTACCTGAAAGTCACTGTAAGAAGAATCGAAGGCGTAAGAATCTCTGTAGTGTTTTTTTCCATGAAGACTTTTGTATTAAGGTAATGCCATTCCTGTGTAATATAGCCTCGTAAGAATTTCTGTAATACTGCCAAGACCACTGCGTTCCTTTTCGGGATGGATCCTGGAACGGCCACTTTTGAGCAGGGTCTGATGCGAAATTGCGGACACACTTGGTGGCCGCTTATGAGGCATGCAACCGACATCATTCCCACTTGCATCAAGCCGCGCTGAAAACCTCTGAGTCGTAAAACAAAGAATCTGTAACTATTTCTATGAGTAGATTATGATGGCACATAAAAATATGTCAGAAACCGGTCGCAAAAACCTGTTGTGGTTGAATAAGACCTGGAAAATTATAAATGTTACCACTAAAAAATTGAAATAGCCGTGCACAGCTAACACCCGTGCGGATCCAAAAAGGTCACCCGTGCACACAGCCAACACCCGTGTCCGAACTCCGTGCACGCAGACAACACCCGTGCAACCATGCATGCAGCCAACACCCGTGTTTCCCCGTGCACGCAGCATCGACCATAAAATTAACGGTTGCTGCATGTACGGAACACGGAATTATTTAGACATTCACAAAAACGTTCGAGAAAAGTTTTCCGATCAGCAAGGCAGACTTGGTTCATGCATGATCTTCTTCAGGCGTTTTGGAGACCGGTTCAGCACACACCGGTTGCCTGCATACCAGACAGTTCCGTGAATAGGTGGTCAGCCATGTTGAAAGCACGCCATATGGCCAACTGCAAAAATATAAACACAGGTATTGGCACCGATTACCATTTCATGCATCGCAACGTTGTTAGTGGGTGGCATAAGTTACAGTGTTTTACCATGCTGGCACGGCAAGACAGTCTTTATTTCACCATCCATGAAATTTTGTTGACACAAAGGGCATATTATGTCGTCTGATTGCTCCATGTCCTCGATTTGTGTAAGATGGCTCATTTCATCATCCCTTAGTGGAACCCCAATGCCTTGTAGGCGCTCTTGCTGTACAGGCGCTTCATTTTGAGCAGTTGTTAGGAACTTGATTTGTCTTTTCTCCAGTTCCTCCTTGATACCAGAAATCTGGATAATTTCCTCCTGGGCTAAAGATTGCGGCTTCTGCAGCAAAATCTTTTATTAGACTGCTTTATCAAAGAAAACGTTACAGCAAAGCGCAGTACTTGGGTGCTTTTTATTGGTGATCGTGTGGCTTGTAGTTTTCGCAGTCGATAGCAACGGCGGATCGCGCATATTAGAAGACCCAAGAGAAAAACGGCGACAGCAATCGCCAGAAACAACTCACTGGTTCGTGGAAGCCCAGAATTATTTTTGAAGTGTAATTCGTACCTGCAACATTGCCTCAAATCTTCCACCAGAACTTTTTGTGCCATGTAATGCACTACAACAGCTTCATTACAAATATGACAATGGCAGTCACAATTAGGTACTCTAAGCTTTTTTTTAAGCCGCACCTGTTATCGGAAAAGGGATTGAATAGAAAGTTCTTCAGCTTCATTCCCTGCTCGAAGCCGACGAAATGGACGGTGACGTTGGTCCAATCAATAACGCTCGCAGGAATCTCGGTCGAGAAAGGCCTAGCCGTGGAATAGGGATTTGAATAGACAATGATGCCGGCGTAAGATTTTTCATATGCGCTTAGAATTTTGGCGGCGAATCCATTTATATCTTCAGTGACTTCTGTGTATGTACAACAAAGGAATGCCAGTTAACCGCTAATAGTTTCCAAATGCCAAATGAATAATTGAGATGGTTTTAACCACTGGCTTGCCAACAATTATTCAGAATAGAATAAAACAGTTTATTGTCGCTCGCACTTTTTGCTCCGGCCCCTCGGTATGAAGCAGTACTCCTAGTAGTCGATAAAGTAGCACATTAACTTCTTGACTTCTGTTTTGCTCCCGACAATTTACTGACTGGCATATTGCTGATTAACACAACTTGCTGACCGACAGATTACTGACCGGCAACTGGCATATTTGCAGTTTTGCTGCTCGACTTTTCGAAACTGTTTTGTTGACCGACAGGTTGCTTATTGGTTGGTTTCGATGATTTTTTCAGCTTTTTGAGGGTTTTTTCCTAATGTTCAAGTTGCTTATATTTCTTTACTTTTTTAGCTTTTTATTATTTCTTGGTGCGATCTTTTAGGTTTTTATTCTGTTCTTATGATTTGTTATTTTTGCATGTTTTTCATTTGACTTTTACATTAATTTTGCAATGTCCGTGGAGTGCTGCCAGCAAAGTTGTCAGCAGATAGCAGCTTATCGATTATCAAACTGTCGTTTCACAAATCGTCGTGTGAACATTTTGTCGGTTAGCGAATGCAAAAACATGGTCAGCACGATGCGGGCAGCATCAAGGTTTTCTAAAGCAGTACTATTGTTTATTGGCACTAAAATAAAATCTCACTGTAATCGTCATATATTTAGTGATAAATCTTACCTTCTCTTTGTGGACATGGTACGTCTTCTACTACAAAAAACGACTCAACCCATCTGTTTTCAGTGCCAACCAAGGAGGCTAGATCCAGGTCATCTGAGCTGCACCCAGACGCATGAGTAGCAGCTTTTAGCCGTATACCTAGACCGGTTTCTACATTTGTCTGACGAATTGACGATCATCGTGTGAACAGTGTAAAGAAGATGTTTTACTTACTGGATTGTCCTCTGTGGAATAGTGGCCAGCAGCACAATAGTCATTATCATCAGGAATCGCATAAACTGGAGAAGGTGAGAGGGTTCCGTTTTGCCTTGGGTAAACCTTGATCAGGCAGTCATGAAAGCTTATTAAGAAGCCCAGAATATAGAACCCAAGATAAAGTGGTCTGGATGAAGTCCTCATACTATTACTTCGATTAATGAAGTACTAGTAATTACTGCATCTCGAATACTCGTATTAAGCAACTGGCAATGCATTCGATTCAAGAAACTCTAATGATGCAGGGCGGCTAAATGCTGCGTACGTACAAGTACTGCTTTGTTAACACCTGCAAAAACGACATACTTTTTCAAACCGGCAGGCGAACAAACGAAATTTAAGTGGATTGCCCCCAACTGCTGTATGTTCATCTACGAGGTAATCAGCAAAAAAAAAAAAAAGGTTTTAAGGCAGGTAGACTTTCATTCAGGTTAGCAAAAAAGGGTGTTGATTTTTTTTTGTTCCGGGGGACACACTGTACTCGTAGCCAATTCATGCATGTCAAAATGGTGCAACTTGCATGCACCATGCGTGATCGTAAATGGTACTGAATATTAAGGCAGAGTGCGTGCCTGGAGGCAAGAGCTGTGCTTTAACTTACGTAAAACGTACAAGTATAATATCATTTTCTTGGTCGGCCTCAGTTTGCTGAGTTTAGGGGGCATCCATAAATTACGTACGCAGAAAACCACGATTTTTTCACCCCTCCCTCCCCCTTCGTAGCGGTCCGTCACATTTGCTTGACCCCTCCCCCCTGGTTCGTTCAATCGTAATATATGGAGCTGACCACCCCCTCCCCCCTGGGTTCGTCGAGGCCGTCACAGCTTGTCACGCTTTTTGGACCCCTCCCTCCCTGGTTCGCTGCGTACGTAATTTATGGATCCCCCCTTAGTGGGCTGTGCTTTATCGTACGTTACCTTGTACTCAGTGCTATTGCAACAGCATATATTATGGAAAGTCAGCAGCGCAGTGCTCATCTTGTGGACATAGATGCAGGTGCATGGTCCGTGCAACATCCTTGCGATGCCTCACAACAAGCGCTACTTAAGCTTCGCTCCAACAGCACCGTCCGATATCGTTGCGGGTGTTTCCAGAGCAGAAACGAAAACATAGTTGCCGGAAACTACAGTAGATTAACGGGCGCATATAAAACATCCAAATCATGAAGCAACCAAGACATATAATTATAGAGGGCCCAGCAAGGGATAGCGGCTAGCTCACCCTTAGGCGAGCAGAAACGGAAACTGAACGCCAACACACTTGTAAACTTTATATCCCACTCGCATGCAACAAATCAAAGGTCACCGCAGTATTCTATCACCACAAAAGAATGCTGCGGGCAAAACGAAAAAGCAAACAGCTCAGACGACAAAACCTCGCAACGGAAAAATCAACCAGGTGGAAGATCTGGTAGAATTCACTAGCAAAAGACAGCAAAACAACCTAACATCCGCCCGAACGCGGACTGGCAGGAGCCACTCCTCCTCACACGAGCGTTGTGTTAATTCCACAAGCCGGCAATTCAGCGCGTTTACAATCCCGCTGGCAGAACGAGAGCACAGCATAGTTTTGGAAAATGTTAGATTTGTCACTCGCGAAATTTCCCTGCTAACAGTTTTATCTGCTTAAATCACTTTTACCTACGTATATTATCTCAATATCGCACGATGCGAAAAGATCATCCGTTTTACAGTCAAGGGTGCTAAAATGAAACGAAGAAAAAAGGATACTGTACTTTTACTGCGTGCAAGTGCATAATCATACACGGAAGTACACAATTACAAAATCCATTAAGAGCTTTTGAGAAAATGTGGGTGCATCCGATTCCTCGCAGACGGGTCCAAAGGCGGCAAAATCGGTTCAGGCATCCTCTCTAGTTGTTTCAGTGACCGGTTCAGCGCACACCGACTGCCTGCATACTGGGCAGTTGCGTGAATAGGTAGTCAGCCATGCTGCTACGCACGCCTTGTGGCCAACTGCAAAAATCAACGTACCTGCATTTCACAGAATTTGGGTGCTTTATCAACACAGGCTATTATAGAAAATGTTTCGAATTGGAGTTCAGTGCATTACCATGCTGGCACGGCAAGGTCATCTTCATTTCGCCAATCGTCAAATTTTGCTGACACATATTGTGTCGTCCGATTGCTCGATGACTTTGGATTGAATACGACGGTTCATTTCATCTTCCGTTAGTGGAACCCCATTGTCCTGTAGATGTCCTTCTTGCTCAGGTGCTTCATTTTGAGCAATAAGCAGTTCGATTTGTCTTTTGACAAGTTCTTCCCTGATAGCAGAAATCGGGATGATTTCCTCTTGGGTCGAAAGTTGCGGTGCCTGCTGAAAATCCTTTTCTTAGAATTGCTTCACTAAAATGTTCATGAGCAAAGGATGAAGTCCTTACTTGAGCTCTTTCTGTTGCTGATCGAGTAGCTCGCAGTTTACGTCGTTGGCAGCATTGGTGGATTGTGTACATTAACAGGCTCAAAACAAGCACGGGGACAGCCACCGCCGGAGCAAGGTTCTGGTTAAAAGACTGAGAGTTGCCCGTTTTGATTGAATAGTAGGAATAACCATGGGAGTAACCACCGTGTAGGAAACTGCAACAGTACAGCAATAATTGTTGCGCACTAATCAAGATCTCGCAAAAAAAGGTTCGTACGTACTTTGCAAGCAGCCAAGAAAACTAATCAAACGACTCGTTGGTTGGTAGGAGCGTGAGTTACTTTCCGATGCGTAATTCGTATCTGCATATTATTTTAACCGTTAGTCCCATGTGCAATACTCACACTGACTCCTTCACTGCTGATAACGCCGTGTGTACGCCCAACTGGAACTAAGTAACCAAATTGTTCCCACTCTGCACAGGCCGCACCTGGTATCGAGTAAGGAACTGAATAAAAATTTTTTCAGTTCCACTCCATCCTTATAGCCGACGAAGTGGACGGTAAGGTGGTTCGATCAACAACGCTCCTGGGAATCTCAACCGAGAAAGGCTCAGTCGTAATATTGTTGTCGGGGCTTGAATACACGATGATGCCGGTGTAATATTTCTCATATGCATTTAGAATTTTGGCGCCAATTCCATTCGCATCGTCGGTAACATCTGTGAATAACAAAGCAATGTCAGCTTATCATTACTGGCCGTACATGTAATATCAGTACATGTAAATAACGAGGCGGTTTTTACTGCGGTCTCACACACCGTGGCCGTGTACTATAGAAAGTGGGTAAATCGAAGTCACGCTGTTTTAAAGCCGTTTCTTATAATTAAGTACAAGATCTATACTACGCGCGGCGCCCCATAGTTTTGAGATCTCTATAACCATAAAACTTCTGGAAAAACGGACAACGCCATTAGATCCGGGATAGTTCAGAAGTGGCCGGCATATTTTTTTATGAAAATATCGAGCCGGCATCAAGCCGGCATCAAGACCAGATTGATCCAACCCATCTTAAAGGTCACCTTGAAACTTAGAAATGTTTGCCTAGATACAATACAAAATACCAATTGACATAATTATCACACTAATTAAACCGAAAAATAAATAAATTATTGTACTCATTCAAACACTCGCGTTATTCAAACATTGCTGCCGGTGTTGCCGAGCTCGAAGCACGTTTAAAATCAACCGATATAAAATGTAAAAATATCAAATATAAAATCAATACGAAAAATCACAGGACGAGTGAGTGACCGAAGCACTATCACCGGCCACTGAGCGGAATCTCTAGATGAGTGGGTGACCGAGCTACCACCACTGACCAGCAAGAAAAATCACTAGACAAGTGAGTGACCGAAACACCATTACTGCCCACTGAGCGGAATTTCTAGGTGAGTGAGTCATCGAGCGGGCTTTGCTCTTGCTCACCTAACGATTTTTCTCCTTACCTAGCGATATTTCTTACTGGACAGGTTGAGCTCGGTCAGTCACTCACCTAGTGATTGACTGCGTCAAAAAATCGCTAGGTGAGTACGTGACCGAGCTACCAGTACTACCCAGCGCACAGAGCCCGTTAGGTGAACGTGTGACCGATCTAACACTACTGTCCAGTGCACGAACTCCGTTAAGTGATCTATTGAACGAGCTACCACTACTGTCCAGTGCATAGATTCCGTTAGGTAGATGGGTGACCGAGCTACCAATACTGTCCAGTGCAGAGATCCCGTTAGGTAGATGGGTGACCGAGCTACCAATACTGTCCAGTGCATCACTACTGTCGAGCTACCACTACTGTCCAGTGCATAGATTCCGTTAGGTAGATGGATGACCGAGCTACCAATACTGTCCAGTGCAGAGATCCCGTTAGGTAGATGGGTGACCGAGCTACCAATACTGTCCAGTGCACGAACTCCGTTAAGTGATCTAGTGACCGAGCTACCACTACTGTCCAGTGCACCAACTCCGTTAAGTGATCTAGTGACCGAGTTACCAGTACTGTCCTTTGCATAGATCCCGTTAGGTAGGTGGGTGACCGAGCTACCAAAGCTATCCAGTGCACAGAGCACGTTAGGTGAACGTATGACCAAACTGCAATATTGCTGAGCAAAATAGAGCAGGGCCTGCTAAGTTCTTAATGGGTGACCTATCTAGCACCACTGTCTAGTCTTAGCGTCCTTTTAGTTTGTAATGTGATCATTGTGATGCTCTCGTGGGTGATTAGATTCGGATGGTTTTTCGCTAAGAAAATTTAAAAAAAAATGATTTGTAAAGTCAAAGTAATTGCGTTCGACTGCACGAAACCAAAACATCCATTTTTTTATAAAATTTTTGTTATCGGGCTCTTCAGATTTATCCGTTCTAAGTTAACAATCCGTAAACCGGCCAAGGAGTTTAGAACCCAAGAAACGCGGAGGCGAAGCCGAGGCTGTTTCTTGTATGTTATATCATAATGCTGACATTAAATCGATATCTTACTGGATTCGTCATTTGTTTAGTGGTGAAACTCACTTTCTCTTGGTGGACATGGTTGGTCATCCACTAGAAGAAAGGAGTCAACCCATCGGTTTTCAGCTTCAACCGCAGAAGCCAGTTCCAGGTCATCTGGACTGCATCCAGTTGCAGGAGTGGCAGCTTTTAAGTATACCTAAACCGGTTTTGTCATTTTTCTGACACTCCTCATTGGGCAGAGAGGATGGCTTACTTACAGGTTTGTCATCCGCAAAATTTCGGTCAACAGCCACGTAGTCATTATCATCGGGAATCGTATAGACTGGAACTGCTCAGAGCGTGCCGTTTTGTCTTACATAAACCTCGATCAGGCATTGATGAAAGTTTATTAAGAGAACCAGGGTAGACAGTCCCAAATAAAGGGATACAAGTATGGATAAAGGCCACATATTGTAACTACGGTTGATTCGTAAGCTTTGACTGCGCTTCGAATACAAAACTGCAAATTGGTTAGTAACTTCAAAATACGAGCACCAAACTGGCTGTTGTGAATTGCCGTGTACCAACAACAAAGTAAGGTAGGAAAAAGTGTTTTTATTACCAGCAAAAAGCGTGGAGTTCTGTGCAATATGTCAGTTGACAACAGACTTGTGGTCATATAAGTGCTTTTGAAGGCATGCAACAAACGCATGCAGCAATCAGACAAGATAGGTAATAAAAGTGGGGTGTTTTTGTTTAGGTTTGACGTGATGCATTTTAGGTTCACGGGTCGATTTTTTCTATTCCGGGAAATACATGTGTACTGTACTCGTAGTTAAATCATGTACATATGTTAAATCTGTGCCTGTTTACATGTACACTGCGTGATTGTAAAAGACGTCGACTATCATTTAAAGCTATGCATAGAAGTACTTACTGAAGGCAGAGTGCGTGCCTGGAGGCAAGTATCACAGCTTGAATGCACGTATGCCATCGTTTATTTTCTTGACCTCAACTTTAATAAAGGCTGTAGTTTACCGTTACCTTGAACACGCTGTTGTTGTGAACTAACAAGCATAAGTACTGTTTACCGGTGCCATGTAGGTGTCGGTATAAAAACAATAAAATATTCAAAGCTAAACAGCAAACTATGAATAACACTGACATTAGCCGCATATTACTAGTTAATTCGGCTTAACATGGATCGCTTTAGTTTCTGAAATGCACCCGCCACAGACTCCCGCAGCGGCCGGAAACTGAGTGCGAAGACGATGGGATCAAACAGGGCTTGTAGCGGATATAAGATACCGGTAGCGTAACCGTATACGTCGTTGTAATCCAGTTTAACGTAGATACCAGCCGTCCAATATGCAAAGCACGGGCCATAACAAAGTATGATACTAATCGTCAGCAAGGTCAACAAGAGAAACCCGCGAAACTGCTGTTTCACTGCCGCTGGCTGATCTTTACAACGTCCCTGCGATGTCTTACAACCAATGCTACTGGGCACTACCGGCATTGTGCGATGCCGTTGCCGTTGTTTCCAGAGGAGAAACGGATAACTGCCGGCAATTAGAATAACGGGAGCATCGAACGTCCACATCATCATGAACCCGTACCAGCCAAACAGCGCGTCGGTATTGATGACACATGCGCCTTCTTCCACAGGAATGCGGTATTTTACTGCGTCCACAATCACACCGGGCAGAAGGAGAACATGAGTGTACAGCATCTGTTTCAAAACTGAAGCATCACCGTACACGAATTTACCGTGCAGTTATTTTGGTGCTGATACTTTTCTTTGCCTAAGTCGTTTTTACCGATTTTTTCAACTGGTCTTAAATAATTATTTTTACTCTGTAATCAAAGTAGTAATCTAACAACTATCTTAACAAATATTACCGTTGCTGCGCAAAGAATCCATGCAGTCTTTGGTCTGTGTCGATTCTTATAGGACAACGGAAACACGATCGCCCATACGCGATTTCCCATAATCAACACATGACAGTGAACCGTTGTCGCCGAAATCACATAAATCGTGTAATTGTACACAGTGCAAGCGTTATCGCCCAGCCACCAGCTACCGTGGAGCTCCGTGAGGATGTCCATGGAATTGCACAAACAAGCGTAGATTATGTTGGTCATCAGTAGAACGTTGAGATACACGCTAAACGAGGTACGCGCCCTCTTCTCTTTCCACAGAACAGCCAACATTGCCGTATTCAGTATAACTGTTGCGGTAGTCAGCGAGATCAAAATCGCGAATTGGTATTCCGGTTTGCCTGTATCCGCGGCCGCGGTACCGTTTCCCATGTTACTAGTCGAGTTGGACCAGACAGACAGCGACAGATTTAAAATTTTTTCAGCCATAATTCAAATAAAAATTTGGGATAATGGAATTTGTCAATCCAGGTCTCAACTATAGATGCAGTAAATAATAAAATCAAATTGTGAAAGAGAAAACGGCAAAGCACTTCAGCTTGCGCAGATGTGCACACTAAGCGTAATTACTACGATGTCACTGAAAGGTCCCTCTGCTTACGAGCTCAAGTGGATTGCCGGAAGCGCATATTACAATCTTGAAAAACGTATCTGTTGAGAGCTGCACTTAATTACAAAGAGATTTACTGGTCTCTTAGAGAAACCGGGATTTTTGAAGACTGTCAGAGGCACATGACTGCGCCTGGTGCATACGGCCCACCATGGACGTACTTGCACTCATGCTTGTCATATCGCCTCTCTCGCTGTACGTACGTGTGCTGCTGCACTGCACTCATATCCGCTGAAGCGGATATATGCGGCGCACACACTGAGCATACTTGCTCTCTCGTCCCTCTCTCTCGCTGTATGACTCAGCGTACGCTCGCGTTGGATTGAGTCCAGTCTGCGC